CCCAACTCTTGGTGGCACTGCAGGTCATCATTCATGACGAGATTCAAGGATTCACATACCACATTTTCAGCTACTGATCATGCAGTCATTAAAGATCCATCAAATGTTGCTAATCTTGCAATTTTGATAATGAGGCTTGTAATAGCCACAGTGACCTACTTTCTGGGGTGGGGGTGGGGGTGAATAGGGGTATACAAATCCGTGATCTGACAATGGTCTTATCTAAATTTGAATCCGCTAAAAGCTCTACTATGAAGTCGCAATCCAGGATCCAAACTAACAGTGACAATTCCCTCAAAAGGGGTTGTATTGATAAATTCTTAGGCAATATTCTTTGTCTCCTGTAGTGCATTTACGCCAACAGTGATACCTACTTTTCTAATTGTACTACGTACGTACAACTGTCAGTACAACGCCATATGTGTTATGTATCGATTGTTTAGCCTGGTGTCCACTGTCCATATGGTCGTAACTCTTGTAGAGAACCAATCAGATTCCAGAATACTCGAGTCATAAATAACGATCCAGCTAGTACATCATTATCCATACTTAGTTCAATTTGGCATGCTCATGGAATTTGGACCAACTCTAGCCCTTTTATGCCCTTCTAGTGTCTCCAAGTGCCAAATAACTCGATTGGACAAGCCAAATCATTAAAAAAATGTATAATGCCATATAAAGTTTCATCAAAATACCTGATAAAATTCTATTTTCTCCTAACGCCAGAAATATATCAAAACGTTCCTGATTGGCCATTTGATAATCTGCTGATGTATCTAATAGATATAAATTCATATTTATATGAATATATGCCGTAGCAAGGTGGTTCTTCAACGGCATAAAAATCATTAAACAATCGAAATTTTATTAATATTGTGATGATTTAAGGCTTTGCCTTTATTGGTACAAAAGGAAGCAGACATTTAAGGGTAATTATTTCGAATTTATTTTAATTCTTGCTGTTTTTATACAGTTGTAATTGTTTACGAATCAAATCATCGTGGATTAGAATTTTTTTGAATATTATGAGCTTTAAACCCGGTTGTCAGTCAAAAGTAAGTGGTTGAGTGTTTTTATTTAACAAATTATATTTTAATGATTAAAACAACGAAAAAATTTGTAGAAATTCTCGAGAAAATTGTTGTTTGAAAAGAATCAAAAATATTCCCGCGCTTTTTTCGCGGTCTTGATCAAGTTTATGGGAGTGTATTTATAGTGATTTTAGCCAATCAAAAACGTGCTTACTGAAACATTTAAACAAGTCTTTCACTTTGAAGTTTGAACTTTGAACTAAACCCAAAATATTTACAAATATCAATATATTTGACAACACGCTAAACTTGCGAAGTATATCGGAATATTCAACAACGTTACAATAACGGTGAGTGAAGTAGCGAAGAATACAGACTGCGAACGCTACAGATTATGAGATGATCTGGCCTGCTCGCAGCCTAGAGATCATCAAACTGCGTGAAAATACAAACAGAACTTGGACATTTCGATCATACGAAGGGGCTTCGCTCTTTGAAACGTCGAAGTTTCTGTGATTTTCAGGCAGTACATATCATCTACAGTTCTCACAATATTCAACTTATTTCAACATGATGAGGATTTGCAGACTTTCAGTGACAAGTGCAATTGTGGTACTTTAAATTGACACTTCAATATATTTAGAGCGTCTTTTAATATCTATTTTAGTTGTTCTAATTTGGGGGATTTTCCGCTTACCATTTCCATATTTAATCGTAAGTAGCTTAATTCATCCAGATTTGTTATTAAATATCACCTTTTTATATCAAGTACATTCATATTACAAGTATACTTACTTGTTTGTAATTGCTTTGTAGCTTCTGGCTTGCGGGCTTCTTGTTTGCGAAGTGAAGTTAAATTACCACTCAAATTAACAGTAAAGTGAGTGAACGGCTGCTATATTAAAAGAGCTGTTACATGTATTTTATCAACATGGTAAGTTCTAGACTTTTGTCTTTAATAGCTACTGTAGAAGCTAGTGTAAATTTGGTATTCAGCTTACTATAGAGATATAAATGTCAGTTCAAAAGCCGATTAAAGCATAATCATATAATAGGTTAAACAAATAAGCTTCAAAGCAAACTCCCCACAGTTTGTTTATAAATTTGTAAATATTTCTTCACATTTTTTGTTTGGATCAGTAGGAGTTTACTTGAAGTTTTGAAATAAACAAACGTGCAGATATACACAAACTGAAACAGCAGGTTAAATTTTAACCCAGGTTTAAGCGCTAACCCACCTTTGAACAACTGGTGGCATCATTGTAACCTAAAAAAAGAGGGCTGGATAAAACTTTATGAGTATTTGTCGATAAACTGTATGAGTATTTGTCATATTTTACTTGACACAATCATTAAATTAAGTGAAGCCATGACTGCATTGTGCCCGAGTGCTGATGACTGACCTTAGCAGTCTGTCTTTTGTAAAATAATTGTGAACATGCAGCAGTGGAAAATGCACAGCAGCCAGGCAATTTTTAACAAAATAATGTCACAGGACATTTTCTTAGTACATTTTGGATAGCCTGTAAGGCAGGCTTTGGTTAGGGGTTTTATAGGTCCCTGCAGTACGTTGCTTCTGATAAATTTTTGTCAGTGGTGTAGCCAGGCCTTCATTTTTTTTTTGGGGGGGGGGCGAAGCAAACGCCGAAGGCACAAGACCATCTAGGGGGGTCCGTGGGCATGCATCCCCTGGAAAATTTTGAAATCTAGAGTCCAGAAATGCGATTTCAAGCATTTTGGGGGTGAAATCGTGTAGAATTCCGAAGATTATAAAGTACATCGAAGACATAAATTTTCCCAGATATTTCTAATTTTCTAAGTACTCGGAATTAAATAAATTGGAAAAGTCACCTTGAAAAACAGGAGGAGCCGGTCAGTGTCACCTTATTTCCCCTCTACGATGCTGGGGGAAGAAAATCCCAATGTGATTTTGATCAGAAATGTTGCATTTAAATCATTCTAGGTTCTATGAGACAGCATTTCCACATTCTCAAAATTGCGTTGCTTTTTTATAGGATACAGAATAAGTCTGAGAAGAATATTCATGTTATGATAATGCATACATGTAAATCTAAACTAAATCTATTCTTCTTGGAACCATATCCACAACTGCTTTAATGAGATTTTACAAATCAAGTTCCTCCAGTATATCATCGTTTTCCTCAGTCGAGACGTGTTTAATCAGTTTCAGCTTTGAGGATGTAACGTGTACCCCCCCCCCCCCCC